ACTTTGTGAATACAAAGCTATTGCATTGGACATTTTAAACAGGGGAATTGTATGGTGTGTGAATTTCATCTCAATAAAGCTGTGCATTCATCACCACAATCAATTATAGTTAGTAGTCACTAACTTCTGATCAGTCTCAGGAAAAACCGATTTTCAAGTCTACACCAATTCCTTTGGGGAAGAAACAGAGAACAGTTCAAAAAGCAACCAAGTGCATTTGAGGAAGCTGAAGATTTATACAAAAGCAAGACCTTGATAAGTCATACCATTACAGGTGGTAGAGGAGTACTCGATGCAGGTGCCAGGCTGAGTGTGCCCACTTCCAGGGCTCTAGCAATGTGGCTCAAGAGACACAACCCACCCCGGGTGACTGTTTTGATGTTTACTAGTTAAAATCTCTGCCCATTCACTTATTTAAAAAATTAGAAATGAGAGTAATTTTCATAAGTTACAGAAAAATGATTATATAAAACCCATCATACAAATACTGAGTGACAAAAACCTCTAAGGCAACAAGAAATAACAGAAGAATGATCACTCTAAGTCTGTGAGGAGAAACCAATAAAGGTAATGTCTGTCCGTCACGTAATTTAAGGCAAAAGAGCTCATTACAAGGAAGACTCCACATAACCTAGAAAAGATTCCATTTTCTTTATTTTTAAGGAATGCTTTCCCTCTATTCAAATCTTCAGATAGTGATTTTTTTTTTTTTCTTTTAGTAATTGGTGCAGAGTTTATAGTTCTTTGCAAGGTCAGTTTGGCTGGAGCTTCACCACCAAAGATGGAAACCCCAACGGTATCTTTTGGAAACTTTTTTCAAGAAATCCTAGGAGCACTTAGAGCGGATCTCTAGACAGGAACCTTTTATGCCTTCTCCTTCTTCCTCATCTCCTGGAATCCTGGTCATGTTGGAGGAAGATGCAAAGAGAAGGTCGGTGCCTGATGTCACACAGACCAAACTGGGCTTTTCTGAGGAGTTGGTTTCTCTGATTCTTAGCAGATGACCTGACAGAGCATTTTCTACTGATCCGTTACCCTCATGCCTTTCTCGAAGAGCCAGCGTGGTGGGCAGAGGTAGGTATTATTTGTGGTATTGGGGAACTGGAGGGTATTATGCCAAGCGAAATAAGTCAATCAGAGAAAGACAAGTATCATATGATCTCATTGATATGAGAAATTCTTAACCTCAGGAAACAAACTGAGGGTTGCTGGAGTGGTGGGGGGTGGGAGGGATGGGGGGGCTGGGGGATAGACATTGGGGAGGGTATGTGCTATGGTGAGTGCTTGTGAATTGTGTAAGACTGTTGAATCACAGACCTGTACCTCAGAAACTAATAATACATTATATGTTTAAAAAAAAGAAGAAGATAGCAGGAAGGGAAAAATGAAGGGGGGTGGGAATCGGAGGGGGAGACGAACCATGAGAGACTATGGACTCAGAAAAAAACTGAGGGTTCTAGAGGGGAGGAGGGTGGGGGATGGGTTAGCCTGGTGATGGGTATTAAAGAGGGCACATTCTGCGTGGAGCACTCGGTGTTATAAGCAAACAATGAATCATGGAACATTGCATCAAAGACTAATGATGTAATGTATGGTGACTAACATAATAAAATAAAATTAATAAAAAAATAAATAAAAAATAATGGTCACTAAACAAGAATGATCTCTTTGGTTGTACTTCTACCAAAAAAAAAAAGAAAAAATGAAGATCATCAACATAAGGACATTATTTTATATTGATTGTCAATGAAAGCCAACAGTGGTCTGAAAACTTTCTCATCTGAACCATTGTTTATGGAAATTTCTCTGAAAAACTGTGTGATATTTCTAGATTTTTACCATAGAAGTAAAACAAATGACAGAAAAATATTGCAAAGTACCAAGATATTACACAGAAAGTGAAAATTATCCAAATTCCACGACCCAAACACTGTTGGAGTTTGTTTTCTTTCCTTACTCTCTGTCACATCCACATCTGTTCTCCCTGTGTCAATGGGAGCCCTTGAGGCTAAGGGTGCTTGTTATTATCATGTCCCCAGGCTTTCCTACAAGTGAACTGAGCACAAGTTATTACTGATAACAGAATCATTAGAGACAGCAATTACTGTATTATGTTGTAATTATAGCCCGAGGAAATACTGAGATACAGAGGGGCAGTCTGTCCCTCCACTAAACAGCCTGCAGCTCCCACCATTTTGTCCTATCTTGTATCTCCTTTTGCTCCTATTTTTGTTCATTCCCAATTCCATCCCCACTCCTAGCACGGGCACCACCACCACCATCCCCAGCCCTGCCTGGGTTGACATTTCTAATCTGGCCTGTGCGGAGGTATTAGGAAATAGAGCTTGGACACATACATGATCTTATAACTCCCCTTCCTAAAACCTTCTGCTCTTAGAAAAAAGCCAACTCCTTGTCTGGCCCCATGATCTATTTCTTTAACTCTCCAACTTTCCATTCTCTGGATGTGGTCTCCTCCTACTGACCTCCCCGTCTTCAGTTAATTCCCATTTGTACTGCACATATCCTTCAATGTCACTTTCAGGGAATTCTTTCTTTGCTCCCCAAACTAGGCTTGGTCACCCTGTACATACTCAGTACCTTTCTTTCACAAGGCTTGCCAGGGTTATCCTTAGGGATGGGCATTTGTGAAAGTCTCATCAACAAATAGTTATGTTTAAGTGCCTACATCATTCCGGGCACTATTTTAAGGTCCAGATTAGGAGCCTAGATTCCAGGAGGATTTACTAGGAGAGGCCTTAGGAATCAGGAGCTGGACTTTTAGCCAAGAGGCTTCTTTTTCTCCTCCCTGGTTCTCATCTGTGAGATCTGAGTTTCCAGAGAGGTGATGCTCTATTAAGATTTTACAAGGAATGATTGCATAAGGCTCAATTTAATGATGTATTCTTAGGATCACGGCATAAGCAACTGAACAAAATTTTATAAAATGCACCGCTAGAGTAACGATTTCTAAAAGTCACTAAAATGAACTGTTCTGTAAAATCAACGTTCCATTTTTAAGGTCAATATTTATCGCCTAGGCTACATTCTTTTCGCGTTGTATTTTCAATCCGTATTTTTTAAATATTCAAGTTTGCTTAGGGAACGACGATCTTCAGAAGGGTCTTCAGCAAAGCCTCCCCCAAAGGACAACTATTATGGTCTATTCTATTCTGTGTGGAAGGCCACGGAGACGCAGGAGCCTGAAAGTGACTTACTGATGGTGAAATATGCGCCCCGGGGCTGGGCCAGATCCGCTAAGCCCCAGCAGGTCAGGTCCCGGTCCTACTCCCGGGTGTCAGCCCCACGCGCGCCGGGGTCCCTGCGGGGTCGGCCCCGAGCCCCTCCCCCGGCTGAGGCCGCCGGCCTATACGAAGGATACCGGGTCCTCCCGCGCGCCGCAGCAGCGTCCCACCCAGGCTCCGAGGCAGGCGAACGGAGCTCCCACCGCCCTACTCTGCGAAGCCCGCGGCGCTGCCGGGCTCAGAAGCCGCCGGGACCTAGGCGACGGTCTCGCAGGCCTGTCCCCGCCGCGCCGAGCCGATGTGTGCGGGGGCGGCGCCGGCCGACAGGAGGAGCGAGGCCGCGCTCTCTGCCTGCGCTTCTCCGGCGGCCTCCCAGACCCGCGAGCGCTCCCCCGGGCCTGGCGTCCCCCAGTCGCCGTCCCCGCAGCGAGGCCTCCGGGCCCCTCCGTCCGCCTCCCTCCGCGGCCGGAAGCCGGAGTTCGCCGCTAGAGGGAGCGGGCGGAGGCCGGTGGAGTGAGCGCCTCCAACCAGCCCGGGGCCGGGGGAGGCTCCCGGCGCCCGAGGCTCCAGGGCCGCTGGGACGCGGGCAGTTACTAACCCCCCGGCCAAGGGGGAGCAGCCGATTCGAGCTTTGAATGCACCAGTTGATAGCAATACTCAAGACAACTGCAAAAAAAAAAAAAAGGAAAACAGAAAAGCCCCGCCTGGGCCTCCACCCAGGACAGCTTTGGCCCGCGGAGCCACCCGGCCCGTCTGGGTTTTCGGGGCGGCTGGCAAGGGTCCAGAGAGGGAAGAGGGAGGGAGAGCAGGGGGCTCTGGGTCCGATTCCGGAGCTGACCGTGACCCCTCCTGGTGACCGCCTGGCCGCACAGCCGGCATACGGGGAAGAAGGGACGGCCACCGCACGCTCCGGGCCAGGCCCGGCCTTGCGTGGCGTGGAGACCCGCGCCGGGCAGGAGCCACCGGTATCCACGCGGGCATCTCCAAGTCAGGCTTTGTTCCCGAGAGCACTCGTCCCTTGTCTCCCTAACACTTCCCCCATCTTGCTGCCCAGCTCTTCACCCCACTTTTTCCCGGAGGAGGACGGGCACGGATGCAGCGGCCTCCCCTCGGACGGCCCCGGGGCTCCCGAGAGGCCGTGGCCCCTGGCCACCCAGGCAGCATAGGCGGCGTCCAGAGCCGGCGGGCTGCAGCTGGCCGGGCCCGCGGCGCTCGCGTGCCAGGTGGAGGGCCCCGCGCACTGGGCGCACAGAAGCGGGCCGCCACCTTCGCCCAGCCCACAGCCCCGGATACCTCTGGCCTGTCCGGCGGGGTCGAGTCGCTGCGGCCGCCGCAGAGCGGGCGCTGGACTCGGATCACAGCTTCCCGCGCGCGGCCCGCGACGCGCCTCCGGTTACCCTGGGGCTGGCGTCTCTCGTCCCATTGGAGCGCGTGGGGACAGCGCCCTGGACGGCTGTGCCCGGCGACCGGTTGCCGGATATCATTGACAACACCTTCCTTTCATCGTTTTATAGCTGCCCTCTGCACGTGCGGAGGATATGGTGACAATTTTTTAAAAATCTTAGTTGTGTCCCCGCACGCCACTCTATTGGGCATCTAGTATGTAACTGTTCCCTGAAAGCGGTGACCGCAAAGTAAATAAATGAGTGAGAGGTGGTAAAACCTGGCAAGATTTCCGCTAGTCCTGTCGCGAACTACAAGTCCCAGGAAGCCTTTGAGCACGGACGCCACTGAGCCATCCACTTGGAGAAGGCCTTACTCAGCCCAGCCGACACGCAGGCCAATCCGCTCGCCCTGCACCTTTGGCTGGAACCTGAGACCGATTCGCCCCCAATGATGCTCCAGTTGCAGGAGCAACACAAGTTTATCTTTGTCCCACGAAAGAGGAGTAGCGTGGTTCCTACTCGTTTGAGCAAAACGACTGGCATCCGTCAGCTGGACAAGCCAGCGCTCCGCCTGTGATTTTCCTGGGGAAAAGTGGAGACCCGCGCGCCTGCCCTGCACAGCAAGGGACACCTTTTGGAGTCTTGTCTGCTGCTGTGATCGGCCAACGTGCCCCTGCCCAAGGCACGGCTGGTCCCGATCACCTCTTACACTTCATTTATCCGTGGATCATTTGAGAGTCGGTCTTGTAAATGTTTAGCATTTTGCTGCTTTACTGCTTCTTTTGGGGGACAGTGCCAGCACTCGCCGAGACCGGCAGAGAGAGGCGACTGAGTCCAGAGAAGAGCGAAGTATGGGGACCCGGGCTGAAGGCAGCCGTCGTCCTTCCCGCACGCTATTTCTACATTCAGGCGGTGGATACATCAGGAAATAAGTAAGTCGAGAAACGGCTCCCTAACTCTTTTGGAATGCAGTTAAAATGTACTGTTTCTCCCGCCCAAGATCCCGTTTTTCCACAGCAGTTTAAATTCCAGGATATTTGGATGCTATCCACATCTGGTTGTAACAGTCTTCCCCATCGCAATCAATTTTATTCTCTGTAGTTTTAGAAATAATTCCGGATTAGCTCTTCTCCTGGCTGTTTTGATAGGAACTCACACAGGACTGGAGAGACAAAGCCCCTGGACTTTGCTAGAAGTACCTTTTTCCACCTACTTTGGCATAAGCTGTTGTAAGGAATGTAAACCCAGTTGTTAAAAATTTGGTTGGTTCATCTTTCTCTGGTGCTGCCCTCTGTTTTCAGGGAGACATCTGCAGGTAAGCATGTTTTGAAACTCAGAAAGAAAAATGAAGCACTCTTTGAAACTTTAAAGTTACAGAAACTTATCAGAAAGTATCTGATACAGAATTTGATACAGTATTTGATACAGAAAGTATCAAAGTGTGAATCTCCTATGTGTTTGTAAGGAACATTATTTCATTCCACTGAATTCCAGCAATTAAAATGATAACTCAAAGCTTAGTTTTAGAATTCACATACTCCCGAAATGATTGTCTTTTTTTATTGGTGGATGCTGACCGTGTATATTTTGTAGGAAAAAAAAAAATCTTGGGTATTTTAAGAAAAACTATCAAGAAGTTTTCCAAAGCAGAGGGAGAAAAAAGTTATCAGTTTTGTTACGTGGTTATAACAATTGCGGGAACTAAATACCATCTTAAAAATCTTCATAGCGAGAGCACTCACATTAAAAAAAAAATATTTTTGGGCGCCTGGGTGGCTCAGATGGTTAAGCGTCTGCCTTCGGCTCAGGTCATGATCCCGGGGTCCTGGGATCGAGTCCCGCATCGGGCTCCCCCTCTGCTTCTTTCTCTCTCTCTCTCTCTCCCTCTGTCTCTCATGAATAAATGAATAAAATCTTTAAAAAAAAAAAAATTTTTTTTTTTATACAGTGTCACTTAGATGATACACAACCTACTGGCTTTTGCCCATGGCTGAACATGATTTATAATACTGCTCTTTTAAAGAATCATTGAGAGAGACTTTTCAAAAGGTCGTTCTCTTTAGAGGCAAATTACCAGGTGCATGAAATAAATAGATTGATAAGAATATTTTTGTATATAGAATGCGTAAGTGGGTTCTATGTTTACATAAATATGTAGTCTTTATATATTCCCTTGTAATTTTCTAATGAAATGTTTATGTTATTGTGGACATTTGTCATCCTCTGCTTTTTAAAAAAAATCTCTGATCCATCACATTCATTCTGATACTACAAGCATATGAGAGAAGCAGCAAGCATATATGTTAGGGAGAGAGTATGGAAGAAAACAGTAAGGCTAACAGACAAGAGCATAATCTTTGTGCATTTGTGCCTTGAAATAATCTTTATGTCTTGCTGTTCTTTCCATGACAGGTTCACATCTTCTCCAGGTGAAAAGGTGTTCCAAATTAAAATCTCGGCACCGGAAGAGCAGTTCACTAGAGTTGGAGTCCAGGTTTTAGACCGAAAGGATGGGTCCTTCATAGTAAGATACAGAATGTATGCAAGCTACAAAAATCTGAAGATAGAAGTTAAATTCCAAGGTCAACATGTTGCCAAATCTCCATATATTTTAAAAGGTAATTTGTAACATAATTTTAAAAAACAACAGTATTTATGAAGCCATATAATGGATATTTCTTAGCTGTTTTGAATGCTGAGTGAAATTATTACTGTGATATTTTGTTACTTGTGTGTAATTAGGGCCGGTTTACCATGAAAACTGTGACTGTCCTTTGGAAGATAGTGCAGCCTGGTTACAGGAGATGCACTGCCCAGAAACCATTACTCAGATTCAGAGAGATCTGGCACATTTCCCTGCTGTTGATCCAGAAAAGATTGCGGAAGAAATCCCAAAAAGATTTGGACAAAGACAAAGCTTATGCCATTATACCTTGAAGGATAACAAGGTACGATTTGTGATTAAGGTTTGCTTGTTTGCCTTAGTGATTTTTTATTTGTTTTGACCATTTGGCTCTAAGTAGCTACAGAGTTTTATTAAAAATCATTCTGTGGAATGCTTGGCTGGCTCAGTTGGTGGAGCCTGCGACTCTTGATCTCAGGGTGTGGGTTCAAGCCCCAAGTTGAGTGTGGGGATTACTTAAAAATAAAATCTTAAAAAAAAAAAATCATTCTGAGGATCATTGTGCTAAGCTTTACCTCAATGAAATCTGCCAGTACTTTTAGATTAACACAATAAACAAAATGGAAATAAGGGTGATGGGAAATAAACCATTTCTAGGTTAACTTAATAAATGTTCAATTCTCTTTTAGGTTTATATCAAGACTCATGGTGAACATGTAGGTTTTCGAATTTTCATGGATGCCATACTACTTTCTTTGACTAGAAAAGTAAGTATTTTCTCTTAGGTATAATAGTTTCAGTCCAGGTTTTACTATATAACTAAAAAAAAAATAACAGCATCAGTGGTGTTCTATTCTGGAACCTTATTATAATACTATTCTGAGGCTCTGTGTCACATAGGGTACCTGTATGAATTTCCTAGGGTTGCTGTCACAAAGTACTGCAAACTTGGTCGCATAAAACCGCAGAAACGTTTGTTCTCTCGTAGTTCTGGAGGCTACAAGTCTGAGAGCAAGGCGTCAGCAGGCCCCCCCCTTCCCCCCCCCCCCACCGAGGTATAGGGGAGAACCCTTTCTTCCTCTCCCTGCTTCTGGTGCCTGGCCGGCCATCCTCGGGGCTCCTTGGCTTGCAGCCACCTCGCTCCAGCTTCTGCTCCTTACCACCCGCTTCCCCCGTGTGTCTGTCTCTTCTCTTCTGGTAAGGACACTAGTCATATTGGATCAGGGCCCGCCCTACTCCAGTAGGACCTCAGCTTAGCTAATTGTATCTGCAACAACCCTAGTTCCAAATAAAGGCCATATTCTGAGATGCTGGGGTTTTGGACTTCAGCTTATCTTTTGGGGGGACAAACCCCCAATACCCACAGCAATACCTTATAAGGGAAAATGTCTTAGAATAAAATTGTTTTAGTACTAAACCTACTTTGAGCCCAGAGAAGGCTTACTGTATGCTGAATCCTGTTTCTTGGTATAAAGTGCTTTTCGTGAGGTTCTAGTGGAGACCCTCACAGTGATAGTAAACTGGCTGATGGGAAAAACTCTACCCACATTGTTACCGGTTGCTTAATAACAATTTATTGGATAATCTGTGTCTACATCTTGATTGAATTACTCATGGAAAATGACAGTACCTTCTCAAGCTTGCAGAGCACTTACAGTGAGTTTATTCTGAACATAGGCAGCTACAAAGCATCTGTATTCTGTCTCCTTCAGCTAAGACTTCAGGATGCTAGCAAGTTCTCCTTGCTCATCTGTGTCAATCCGTGGAAAAATAAAGACTGTTCAGGACTCCAGTTTCTCAAGATGCTTTTCAGGCTGACCAAAAACCCCAAGCATTTACCTGTGACTTGATTTTAAAAAAAGAAAAACCAAACAGGTTCTTTGAACACGTTTGTACCACTTGTCAGTAGAGGCAATCTAGTTTGGAAATCCTTAGAGCTGGCTTTGTTGTTGGGCTTCTGAACCAGAGTTCAGATTCTGGTCCCCCCACTATCTGGGGTGGGGGGTATATTTTTTAAATGGGCACATATGGCTCATTAACCAGGAACTAGGGTTAGAGTCCCAGTGCTTTGTGCTGTAATTGTTTTCCAGTAATTCCCTCTCTCTTTCTGATCATCCTAGAGTCTCTTGGCAGCATTAGAACTGATATTATCTATTTCATTTCATCTCTTTTTGAAACCAGTCTATTGGCCAATTTGCACATCACAGAAAGGATATCTAGTATGCTTATATATATGACAGTATTCTGAAAAATTACCCACTATCCAAATTGGGGTAATTATCATCACCTGAAGCTTGTAAAGTTGGTCTTTCATTTGGTACAATTTCTAAATTTTCTTGTGTTTCCAGAATTTCTAATTTCTAATTTTCTTGTGACCACTGGGTGGTCTGGCTGTGCTGCAGGATAGGATATTACGTGAATCCGGCCAAAGTGAAAAGGCAGGTAAATGCCACCCAAGGAAGAAACCTATGGGGGATTCAAGGTTGCTGAGAACAGACAGCACGCATATCAGCCTCAAGGGCTGTAGCGCTTACTTATAACAGAGGACAGGGAACAAGAGCCAGTCCCTTGCTCTGTGGCAGTCCCCCTGGGCCTGCAGATCTGCTCACCGCCCCCCGCCCCCATACCCTCCCCCACCGCGCACTGTGGCTGCAAGCACCTCACTTCTTGCTGCAGTGGAAGCTCTCTGATCCCTCCCTGTGGGGTCTGAAATACGGCAAGCCGGGCAGCCTGAGGGCCGTGGATACCTGCGCTTAAGCAGAACAAGAAGTACATTCGCTCACAAGGAGGTGAGCCCCGCCCAGACTGCGAGGGCTCTGTCTCTTGGTAAAGAAGTGTTCCAGACCTGAGACCCGTTCTTATGTGGCCAAGCAGGGGTGGAAAGACTGCATGCACGAGGCTGCCTTTCCCCACACATTGATCCATAGAAGGGATTATCCACTGCCAGTAATGTGGATAAGCTCTTTACCCTCCTTTTCCAGGTGAAGGTGCCAGATGTGGAGTTTTTTGTTAACTTGGGAGACTGGCCTTTGGAAAAAAAGAAATCCAGTTCACACATCCATCCAATCTTTTCCTGGTGTGGCTCCACGGATTCCAAGGATATTGTGATGCCTACCTACGACTTGACTGACTCTGTTCTAGAAACAATGGGCCGGTGAGAGACGGGTCTAAGATGACCCAGAGCCTTGGTTTTCTTTCCTTGCTGAGTTTTCTTTCTCAGCCACCTTTGCACTGTGATGGTTGGGGAGGAAAATCTGTGGCGCTTTCTGTCTTCCAGAGTAAGTCTGGACATGATGTCTGTGCAAGCTAACACGGGTCCTCCCTGGGAAAGCAAGAACTCCACCGCTATGTGGAGAGGGCGTGACAGCCGCAAAGAGAGGCTGGAGCTGGTTAAGCTCAGCAGGAAACACCCGGAACTCATAGACGCTGCCTTCACCAACTTCTTCTTCTTTAAACACGATGAAAGCCTATATGGTCCTATTGTGAAACACATTTCATTTTTCGATTTCTTCAAGGTATGACCTCAGTTGTGTCCAATCCTTTCTGTTTTTCCAAATGCCTTCATTTGAGGGAGGGAAACTGAGGCCTATAAATGATAGGGGGTGAGAGAGGTGAACATCAAGGCATGAAGCCCCAGGGACCACTGTGGCAATGTGGGTTGTACAAAGTACCCAGACCTGACCTTAAATATGCATCAAGGGAGCTTGGGGCCTGGGGTCAAGATAAGCACATTTCAGCTCCAAATCCTTTCTTATTATTAAATGTATGTGTGTGATTTTACAAATATTTCTCCCAGGGCATTGCAACAGACTAAAGAAGATATAAACCAGGTGTCTCTTATCAGACTTTCTGATGGGGAAATGTCTTGAAACCCATCCAAATGATTGCCTGGGAATTCTGGGAATTAGGGAGGGCTTTCTGTATCTAAAACCTGCATTGCTCGTGTTTCCTGGGGAGGGATCCTTTTTCTAACTCTTTCTTCTAGGCAGTGGGACACTGCCCTGTTCTCCAAACCACTAAGTGGTTTCTAAAGACCCACGTCGTGGAAGGAATGGTGGACAAAAGGTAGTCACCTGTCCTCTGTATGTGGAAGGCAAGTGATTAGCAAACTCTATCTGTGCTGTAGATAGCCAGGTTTTCTTTTGATGGGTTACATGGCAGCAGGTAGACCTACACAATGCTGTAAGTTGAATTGTCAGTGTTTCCTCCATCTGCATATCACAAAGACTTCTGAAAAAAATGGTTATAGAACCAAAGAGAGCTGTCATCAGCCACCCCTCATCAGAGGGTGTTCTGTCATGCCCTTTGCTTTATTCCTACCTGTCGAATTTGCTACAACTAAAGACTAATTGATTACCACAGCTCTATGAATATTTTTATTCATAGATGCCCTTGCCCCAGAGCTCGTTAATTTCCTCAAAACTTGTGCGTAGCCATCTGATGTAAAAAGAGATGGCTAACATGGCATAGGCTGCCATCCTTAGGTGCTCACATGTGATCAATAAAGCAGTAGAGGGATTACAGAGTCATGATAAATCTATCTTCAGACAGCAGTCTTATTATTTTATTGTCTGCTTTAGCATCAGACTCATGGCCCCTTTGTGAAATTCAGGACAGCATTGCAATAAGCCTTTAGCTCTAGGTCAGGTGTTCTGTAATAGCATTTACTCCATGGCAGAGGCAGAGGGCAAAATCTGGCCAGTTTACACCTGACAATGATGAGGCTTCAAGTGTGGAAAGAGGAGAATCAAGAGTGGAGAAAGGCAATTTAATGATGGCTTTTATTTTACCACTGTCTTGCAGCATAAGTATCAAATAAACATCGATGGCACTGTCGCCGCGTATCGCCTGCCATATCTCCTAGTCGGTGACAGTGTTGTGCTAAAGCAGGACTCCATCTACTACGAACACTTTTACAACGAGCTGCAGCCCTGGAAACATTACATTCCTGTCAAAAGCAACCTGAGTGATCTCCTAGAAAAACTCAAGTGGGCAAAAGATCATGATGAAGAGGTAAGGTCCGTCTCTTCTACCCCAATAGCAGGGGTTCATTTTAAATGTCTTGTCCCTGAAAAGCATTCAAGATGCTCAGATTTAGACCCTTACCTGTAAATGGACCACCTCCCCATGGCAGCACATCAGTCCTCCTCGGGGTGAACACAGGCGTCCAGGCTTGGATTCACTGTCCACTCTGCACTTGAAACCAAAAGCTAAATGTTGCCCTTGAGGATGCTTTCTCTTTTGGTCAGGTTGATCGGAGCCCCAAGCACTGCCTCACCTCTGCTAGCAATATGAAAATTAAGATGGCCAGACTGGCAGGAAGGAAAACTAACTGCTGTAGATTAAAAGGCGGGATTGCATGAAGTAAACTGAAGACGAATTGCTGAGAACTGTTAAGGCAGTGTGTTAAGCCTTGTCTTGAATTTACTTTACAATGTCATTGTCACTCCATTAAATGTGTGCCCTCTCTCTGCAAGAGAGGCTTAATTCTGAAAGGTCCAGTATGATTCCTCAAACTTTCAAGTCTAAAAAAACCTCTGTCTGGGTGCCTGGGTGGCTCAGTCATTAAGCGTCTGCCTTCAGCTCAGGTCATGGTCCCAGGGTCCTGGGATCGAGCCCTGCATCAGACTCCCTGCTCAGCGGGAAGCCTGCTTCTCCCTCTCCCACTCCCCCTGCTTGTGTTCCCTCTCTCGCTATATCTCTCTCTATCAAATAAATAAATAAAATATTTTAAAAACCTCCCTTTAATCTGAGCGTACCCTCTTAAACATTCCCTTAACCACATAAGACTACCCTCAAAGAAATTCCTCCTGCCATTGTCCCATTATATGTGGACTCTGAAGATCAGTTTGCATATGTCTGCATGGAAAAAAATATGTTTCATTAAAGGCTTCTGTTGTCATTGTTCCTCTAGGCAAAGAAGATAGCAAAAGCAGGACAGGAATTTGCAAGAAATAATCTCATGGGTGATGACATATTCTGTTACTATTTTAAACTTTTCCAGGTCAGTATTTTCTAAGAGAACAGACATGCAATTTGTAATTGGACATGTTAGCAGCAAATAATATTTCACTTAATAATTTCTTAAAGTATATTAATATAAGGAGATATATATATATATATATATACACACGCACACACACACACACTTATGTGGGCTAAAAACAGGGACCAACATCAAATAGTAATGAAAATAGTACAAAACCAAAGATTAGCTAGAGGAGAATGCTACAACATAATGGGAAAAGTATTTATGTTCACACTCTGTGTTGTGTAGTTAGGAAGTTGGCCTCTGATCCTGCAAAGTTACTGTACGTGGATCTGTATCTTATCTTTGTACAATCTTGCTGCTGCCTTACCAGTTCTTTGTCTAAACAGTGCACAGTATCTTCAGACCTATAATGCTGATCCCATATGAGCTATGATGTCTCTCGGAAAGTGTTTTCATGGACCTAAGCATTTAGGGATTATAATCAATGTATATCTGATCATTTAAAAGGCTAGTAAACAAGGAATTTGCTAATAATACTACTAGATCTAAATTAAGATTTTTGTTTTAATCTCAGAATTGCAGGTATTGAGCCCCAAATCTTAGACTCTGCTATAGAACAAAGTCGGTCTGTTTCTGGTCTACACTGGCCCCTCCCCCCTTTTCACTTTCCTAGGGGATGGTGAAGGGATGGAGAGGGTGAAGTGTGTAAACTGAAGGATCAGGGGATTCGCTGTCCAAATTCCTAAAGATCCATGGGGGTTGTGTTCATTCGTTCAGATTGCATTTACTAGAGCATCATCGCCTAGCCCAGAGCAAGCACGTTATAAACGGAGGTGGTGTCTGAGGCTGTGCAGACCATGGTGGGAATACTCTCTGTTCTCAAATTCCCAGTCTAGGGGAGATCGTGTGCACAGTTATTTTCACTTCAAGGCAGATGGTAGTAAAACCAAAACCCTACAAGTCGTATAAATAAAGGAGAGAATAAGAAGAGGTCTGTTAGCAATTGGCAGCCAGTGTCCAAAGGACAGCCCCCTCTCAGAAGCTCTGGTGTTGGGTGTTTAAGGGGAGTATGAAATATTTTGCTTATCACAACTTGTCACATATGAGTTAAAAGGACCATATTCTAGCAAATTACAGTGTAGTGTATCTAATTTGGTTGGTGAATGTACTTTAAGTTACATAAGGAATGCTTTTGAATTGCTTACACAGGAATATGCCAGTCTGCAAGTGAGTGAGCCCCAAATCCGAGAGGGCATGAAGAGGGTAGAACCACAGGCTGAGGATGACCTCTTTCCTTGCACGTGCCATAGGAAAAAGGTAACTAGAACTGGCCAACGTCAGAGTAAGAACTAGTGCTGTTCCAAGTCCTCATGCGTTCCTTTAGTCATTGAGTCAGACAGCAAGAATTTGAGCTCCTCCAGGGGCCTCCATGCAGTTCAGTCCACCAGAGAGGCGGATGCCATGGACAACCAGGCCGAAGAAAGGGCGCTGACATGCAGATAAGAGAGGAGACACAGGACCCCCCTCCCCGCCCCCCAGCAAAGCCTTTTTTTAACGTGAGAATTCAAATCACGTGGCATTTGAATAGATTTTTACAGTTTGAAAAGTATTTCCACATGCCTCATGTGAGATAGGTTTGGCAAAGCTCATTACCTCAATTTAGAGATGAAAAAAAATATATGACCGTGATTATTCATTTAAGAAGCAATCTCTGTTGATACCAGCACATACTGATTTCATTTATAAAAGACTTGTAAGGCTAGAAAGGACCTTAGGGGTCACCCAGTAATGCCTTCATTTTATGGTTAAAAAACTGAGCTTGAAGAAGAATTTAGCTCAGAATCATCTAGCTAGATTATAGAAAAGCTAAGACGAAAAACTAGTCTCCATCATCAGATTGTGTGTCTGGTTGTGTATAAAGACATGGTGTGGCAGGGGAGGGTTGTTTTGATTGTACTTGTTTTTTGTTTGAATGAACATATATTGTATAAAAATTGTAATATATATCACACATATATACCTATGTATACATATATATTACATATATATACATATACATATATAATATACAGGCTTGATATTATTCTAAGCAATATCCTCATGTCTCCAAATGGACAACAAACTCAAAACTGTGGTATTGTGACCAAAGATGAGAAGGCAGATTTGGCAATTATCATGCCTGTCTCACAAGGAGGTTTAAAAGGAATAAAGTGACCACTCTCCCTAGTGGTGTGATGGAACCAGTTGATATGAGCTCACTGACTGTGACATATTCAGGAATTTTGCACACTGGTTAATTTCCGGTAGCTTGGAATCCTCCTGGTGGGAGAGTCACCATGACAACAGCAGGTGCTACAAATCAGAGTTTTGGTTATTTTGTTTTTATTTTGTTCTTTGGGAGTACCGACTTGCCACTAAGTAACTAACCCCCAAGAAGTGGTAATTGATCAGTATTAACCCCTGTCAGTGCTGGAAGTTCATAAAATGAATTAAAGCCATTGAGCAAAGAAAAATTGCCAGAATCACGGGCACCTGGCTGGCTCAGTCCGTAGAGCCTGCGACTCTTGATCTCAGGGTCATAAGTTCGAGCCCCACATTGGGTGTAGAGATAACTTAAAAATCTTAAAAAAAAATTATCCAACTTGAAATGTACCCTCATGAGATTTGTGATTGGGTATCATAACACTTGTTGGCTCCAGATGAAACTGGGCAGCTCCGTTCTTCAGTCCCCGCCCCTTTTTTTTTATTTTTCCTCTTTGTCTAAGTGATTTTGAGGAGTGCCAAATCAGTATCTTCCCCTGACTGGTGCACTGAAGGGCTTTGTTAATTTCCTTCTCGTTGTCTGCTCTAGCCCTTCACTGACATGATTCACAGCTCAGACCTTTTATGGGAATGCAGATGCTTAGATGTTTGTGTTGGCCATCAGTAATCCCATAAACCACAATGTGACTTTCTCCAGGGGTGATTCCAAGCATAATCCTAGGCCCTACAAGCCTCCAGCACCAACTTGCCTTTTTTCCTCCTCCCATCTTTAGGGGAAAATGATTAATAGACTAACGTAAGTTTTCTTGACTCATCTAAGACTTCTTGATGGCACTAAATATTTTGCTTCTTAATTGCAGACCAAAGATGAACTCTGATATGCAAAATACCTTCCCTTCAAATAATGGTGCTCTGAAGACTCTTCTTAACTGAAAAGAAGAATGTTTTTTAAATATTAATTCCATGGACAGTATAAAATCCACTGTGTGACTGTCTGGATTATGAACATATCTTTCTTCTTATGATGCAGTATTCCCACGACGATCCTTTAAAGCACGGTTTTAAAATTTTATAATAAAACCAATTTTATTTTAAAGGCCTGTGTTGTGCTGATAATTAGCTGTGTTTGGGCCACGGAGCGGCGCGCAGAGCAGGTCTGGGCCCTGGCCTTGGTGTGGCGCATCATGGCAGCCACTACCCACCCGGACACAAGGCTTAAATGACAAAGCTGTGAACTGCGGTCTTTATGCCACTGTGATCTTGGATATTCAGCCTCATGGCCAAACATACTCCTTTACCTTACAAGGCCTTTCATAACCGGCCTCTGCCTGCATCTGTAATCCAGTTTCTCACAAACCTCCTAACATGTACCCTGAGGCCCAGCAACACCAGCCCCTTACCGTTCTGTAGGGGCCTTGCTTCTTACCTTCCTTGGTGATTTGTTCACTTGGTCTGGAATGCCAGGATTGTCTTCTCCTGGCTTGGATACCCTCCAGTGCACATCTCAGAAATCCCTCTTCCAAATCTCCCCATCTGCATACTTGTATGGCTGTCATTACCCCATGGTGTGGTAATGATCTCATCGCCAGATTTGAAGCAACTTGACTGCAGAGACCATGATCTCCCTTGTAACCCAATAGGGTGCCTGCAACTGGAAAGACTCAATATTGAATGGGTGGATATTGAAAATCACTTTGAAATGTGATTAAGAGTATTAAAAAGGAACTAGAAAGCCTAACACTGAAACCATAATATAACGTCCTACAAATTCCTTTACCCAGTAGTTTTCCCTTCCATCTAACCGCTGGTTAAATTATCTATTGCAAATTTTTTTAAATTGTGGGACGTGGGGCGCCTGGGTGGCTCAGTCGTTAAGCGTCTGCCTTCGGCTCAGGTCATGATCCCAGGGTCCTGGGATCGAGCCCCGCATCGGGCTCCCTGCTCGGCGGGAAGCCTGCTTCTCCCTCTCCCTCTCCCCCTGCTTGGGTTCCCTCCCTCGCTGTGTCTCTGCCAAATAAATAAAATCTTTAAAAATAAATAAATTGTGGGACATAGCCTATACACAGAAAAATATAAAACATATCCGCATCTTAAAAATATAAGAAAACACCCATGCAATTACTGACAGATTCTGCTTGACCAAGCTTCAGTCAAACTCCCGAACCTTCAAGGGCCATCTGCACTCCGTAGTAAAATCTCATGTGGGCAAGCGCTCTGCTAAGTCAGTTTAGAAAGAATCCCCATCCTCCATATCCCATCACTCTTGTTATCTAATTGGGTTCCTGGTCCTCCCCCATCCCCCAGGTGATTGATTATCTGGTGTATTCTCAGCAAGAACCCTGTGGGGTCAAATTCCCCCCCCCCCATAACCCTGACGATGATTCCTTAGTAATTTTCTATCCAATGACCTCCACCCTGCTCCTTGGCTGTAAATTCCCACTTGCCCATGCTGTATTTGGAATTGAGCTGGTTTTATACTGAGATCTCCTTTCCCCTATTGCAATGGTCCTGAGTAACATTTTTTTTACCACTTTACCGTCTAGCTCTGATTTTGCTTTGATCTTACCACTCGGGGTCAGAAACGGAATGCTGCTGGTTCCTTAGAAGTAAGCTCTGTCTCCCACTCTATTATCTCCCGCTCACTTGCTCCCATGCAACCACTACTGTGATGGTTGTGATCTTTTCCTTGCTATCACCTACATATACTTCCGTAAGAAATGTAGTTGAATCTTGCCTATTTTTAAATTGGTATAAATGGAATCACACTGAAGATATTTTTGTTGTTACTTGCCTGTTGATGCATATAGTGGCATTACATTCATTTATACATGTACACAGAATTTCATCGTATGAATAGGATCACTCTTTTATCCCTTCTATTGTAGATGGACATTTGGGGTGTTCCCATTTTTTGGCAATTCCAATGAAAGCTACTATGAGGGTGCCTGGGTGGCTCAGTTGGTTAGGCGACTGCCTTCGGCTCAGGTCCTGATCTCAGGGTCCTGGGATCGAGCCCCGCATCAGGCTCCCTGCTCGGCGGGAAGCCTGCTTTTCCCTCTCCCACTCCCCCTGCTTGTGTTCCCTCTCTCGCTATCTCTTTCTCTGTCAAATAAACTAAAAAAAAAAAAAAAAAGAAGAAGAAAGAAAGCTATTATGAGCATTCCTATTCATGCTTCCTGACTCCATTTGCTTAGGAATAAAATTACTGGGTTATAGAGTATGTACGTCTGCAATTTTACTAGATATTGATTGTCCCAGTTTACATTCTCCAGCGGAGTCGAGGATTTCTGGTTGTTTTACTTCCTTGCCAACACTTGATATTATCAGATTTTTAAAATTTTTTGCTAATCTGGGGTAAAATGGTAACTCATTATGTTCTAATTTCCATGTGTCTAATTACTAATGAGGCTGACCATCTTTTCATATGATCCTAAGCCATTTGTTTTGCATTTCCTATACAATTTTTATTTGTTCATTTACTTAGTTTAGTTCATTTCCCTACTAAGTTGTTTGACTTCCTGGTAGATTCATAGAAGTATATTTCGGAGCTAGTACTTTGTTGACTGAATCCGCCACATGCCTCCTATTTTATGGCATGTCTTAGATTCTTGTTGCAATATCTTTTAATGTTCAAAAGATGATGATTTTTTTTCATAATTGAGTTTTTATTGGTTATTCTCAGGATCAATACAGACATTTTAATTTGTACACAATGCTTTTTTTTTTCTTTAGGATTTTATTTATTCATTTGAGAGAGAGAGAGCACAAGCAGGGGGAGAGGCAGAGGGAGAAGGAGAAGTGGAGCAGGGAACCTGATGTGGGGCTCCCTCCCAGGACCTGGAGATCATGACCTGATCCAAAGGCAGATGCCCAACCATCTGAGCCACCCAGGTGCCCCAGTTTGTACCCAATTCTTAATGTACATACCAAAAATCTAAAAAATCATGTAGTTGTGATTCTTTTCTAAAACTGACTCCAGTGACTTTCCAGCTTAAAGTTTGGAGGCGAATTTTCCTTAACAGTATATCAAGCACCAATATCTTCAAATGTTGATATGCTATTACACTGTTAAGTCCCATTAATTCACAGTTTAATGCCATGTACACTACATACTCAGATCTTTCAATCTTGCACGGCACATTAACAAAGTTATTATGAAAACCACAATCAAGACCAAGATGTTACAGAATTCACAAAATTCTGACAGGGAGAGCCAAGATCAAGGAGTGGTTTTCTTTAGGAAATAATCCTACCAAAAACGACAGGGGTAGAGAGGTCATTTAAAATGTCCAGGACAGGGGCGCCTGGGTGGCTCAGTCGGTTAAGTGCCTGCCTTCGGCTCGGGTCATGATCCCAGGGTCCTGGATTGAGCCCCGAGTCCCTGGATCGAGTCCCTGGATCGAGCCCTGAGTTGGGCTCCTGGCTCGGCGAGGAGCCTGCCTCTTCCTCTTCCTCATTCTCTCTCTCACTATCTCTGTCTCTCTCTCTCAAATAAATAAAATCTTTTTTTTGAAGATTTTATTTTATTTATTTGAGAGAGACACAGCGAGAGAGGGAACACAAGCAGGGGGAGTGGGAGAGGGAGAAGCAGGCTTCCCGCGGAGCAGGGAGCCCGATGCGGGGCTCGATCCCAAGACCCCAGAATCATGACCTGAGCTGAAGGCAGACGCTTAACAGCTGAGCCACCCAGGCGCCCAATAAATAAAATCTTAAAAAAAAAAGTCCAAGACATATTAAATGCACAACTGACTTCCAATTGCCATTTAATATGCTTTGTATTATAAAATATAAAAACTACCCCAGCTATGGAATGTTGAGCGGACACCCAGGACAATCAAAGCATCCCCTATTCACTATCCCACTATTTCCTGATTGTAGCAAAAAATAAACAACCAGCAAATGATTTCACCTCTTTAAAAAAAAAAAAAAAATTTACACTAAAAAATGGGATGAGGTGGGAATCCTTCCTTCTTAAAATTGTTTCTAGAGGGGCGCCTGGGTGGCTCAGTCGTTAAGCGCCTGCCTTCGGCTCAGGTCATGATCTCAGGGTCCTGGGATCGAGCCCCGCACCGGGCTCCCTGCTTGGTGGAGAGCCTGCTTCTCCCTCTCCCACTCCCCCTGCTTGTGTTCCCTCTCTCGCTGTGTCTCTCTCTGTCAAATAAATAAAATCTTTAAAAAAAAAAAAATTGTTTCTAGAGCTACTAAAAAACTTGCATTAACAAAACAGTTGATAAAAATATTCCTCTGGATTGTACAAGGAGGGAGACAGGGACCGCTGACAAGGCAAGGTATGTGATGTCAATCAGACTTGGCTTCTTTGTCTCCCGTTTCATCAGAGGCTGGACTCTGCTTGTTTTTAGTTTCCCCAAGTTTCTGCAAGTTTTATTTCTTGGTTAGCCACTTCAGCCTGGCTTCCCTTTGTTCTCCTTTTCCCCTTTGTTTGCACTTTTTTGTCCGAAGATTTATCCTTTCCTGCCGCATTTTTGGCTTCATTTCCATTTTTGCGGGAGCAGGTTTGCCTAACAACCTCCCCCAGCCTGGGGCGGAGCTAACCTTCCTCTTGGGCATCCAGGCAGCAGGGCCAGCGCACAGAGCCTTTTCGAAGTCTGGCTGCCTGGCCAATGCCACTCCTCCTGCCCCCAAAGATGATGATTGTAACATGGAGGAATACATCAGTCTTTTCTTTTATGGTTAGCGCTTTTTGTAACTTGTTTAAGGAACCCTTCCTTATCCCCTCAATCACCGAGCGGTTTCCTACGTTATCTTCGGTGTAAGTTTCCTAGGGCTGCCTTGGCAAATTATTATAAAATTGGTGACTTAAAACAGCAGAAATTTATTCTCTCAGAGTTCTGGGAACCTGAAGTCTGAAATCAAGGGGTTGGCAGTGATGGTTCCTTCCAGAAGCTCTCTCCCTTCATGCCTCTCTTCTAGCTTCTGGCGGCTTCTAGCAATTCTTGGTGCTTATTGGCTGGTAGACACATCACTCCAGTTTCTGCCTAGGTCTTCACAGTGGTCTTCCCCTCTCTGTGTCTCTGTATCTTCTCCTTCTCTGTCTCTTATAAAGACACTAGTCATCACATTTAGGGCCCACCCTAAAACC